CATAACACGGCGACCTATGCTGACATTAGCGTGAGACCATCTGCTCATAGTCATCTCTATTGATAAACCTGCCGACTTTGCTTCCGCGGAACACCAAATCTACGTCAACTTTTCCAAAGCTGATTGAAATGGCTTCGCGGAAGCTAGTGAAAGCACCTTCTCTGCCCTCCCTGCAGTCCTCTTCCGAAGCGGCTTCTTAGCTGTTAAGCGTGACAACCTTCGTCAGACCGATACTGGAAATCCCCGCGCTAGGGATCTCAACATGGAGTTTCGGCTACTTGTGAACGTAAATAACCGGAAGAAGTGGGAAGGGTATCTGAAGACCTGTAACTTCGCCTCAACCGAAGCGTGACGACAGAGTCGAAATATCTTTTGGCATCCTCCGGCAGACAGAGCCAAACGTCGAGTGGCCAGAAGGCTACACAATCTGCCAGCTCCTAGTGCGCCTCTTGTTTTCACAAGCGGCGAAGTTCGGTTAGCCATCGTGAAGGCGAAAGACTCCAAATCCATAGGTCCTCACAGAATATGTATGCTGATGCCAAAAAATTTGTGTCCTGCGGGAGTAGACTACCTTGCCAAGGTCCTCAACCTTTCTATGGCCACTATCATCGCTCCGGACATCTGGAAAATGGGTAGCGGAACCCCACTGCTTAAACCGGGGAAACCGTCCCACAAGGGATGGTAACGCTCCCTTCCCCGGTCGGTGTAAGACACTGGTGGACTTGTCAAAGGCGTTTGACACCGTCAGTCACTCCACGCTACTAGAAGACATTGAGGCTTCCAGTCGTCAGTCATTTTTAGAGACAAAACCAGCTAACGAAAGAAAACCAAAAAGGGGTTCCAAAGGGTGATTGATGTCTTTTCCACACTACTGCTTAATTTTTACATATTAAAGCTCGCAAGTCCTCAAATCGCTAGCCGGCAGCGCCTGGGGCAAAGACAAAGAAACGTTGTTGGCAACATACAAGGCAATTTGCCGGCCGGTGCTGAACTATGCAGCGGTCGTGTAGTCGATAGATTCTATCAGGACAGAGTGGCTAAAGCTACAGACATGACAAAACACTGCACTCTGAGCCACGACTGGATGCCTTCTTATGTCGCCTCAACAACACCACACGACGAGGCCCAGATGCTTCCTATCAAGAAGTATAACACAATGATCTGTAAGCAGTTTGTAGGAGGGTGCCACAGACGCAGGCACCTGCTGACGGACGAAGTCCAGAGGTTCATAAAACATTCACAGGCTTACATCGACTATTCAATATTTATATGCATATCTTGTATTTTGGAAAATACCATTATTTGCGAGATGGGCGTGGTAGCTTCCCGATTTTGCCAAATTTCGTTGAGATATCACAATTTTTGCTCGAGTTATCGTGTAACGGACAAAGGGACATGTCTTAATCAACTTGGCCTTTCATTATCAGCATTTTGGTATGTGTGTGATATCTATATACAGTGGTGTCCACATAATTAGGGACACTACTTCTTTACAAGTTTTTACAATTTTATTAACCGTCTTCTTTTTCTTTATTTTTTGGGTTTTCAAAAATGTAGTACCATACTACAAATCGCCAAATTTCACAAAATTACCACCAAATTTCAAAGTTTTTAATCAGAATTTCTGGAATAAATTCGGAAATATTGTGCAAGTTTCAAGCGGCTAAGGATTCGGATTAATTTTTTTTTTTTTTTTTTTTTTTTTGACGGCGTTACGCGTTTTCTNCGCGTTTTCTTACGTACAAAGTATCAGTATGTTCGAGAATTTATTTTTTCCCATAGGAACAAATGAGCAACACCGTCGGCAAAAAAAAATGCCAAAAATCAACGGCCATTCCTAGCTACTTCAAACTTGCCCATTACTATACTAAAATTTAATGGGCTACAAAACTGCATACCTAAAACTTGTGATTGTGCATTTATATTGTCACACAAATAGAGAGCCCTACAGTTTAACGCCGCCGCCGCCGAACAGCAGATGTCTTTTATGAGAGGCTTTTTTATTGCTAAAATTACAATACTTACACTCGAATGTCTATAATAATTTTCCAAAATCACCGCTCACTTCTCGCCCTTCCAAACACAACCACATAGTACATACATACATACATACAAATTGTGTGTTACGGCATGTAAAACAATAATCAAATATTTTTAGTGGCTTCCTTCAAACATTCTTTCATGCTTTGCAGTGACTTCCGTTGAACAAGGCCAACAACCGGCCAACTTACCAACCATCGGACAGCAAGTGGTGGGGAAATGCCGCGCCACCGTTGTTTTGTTTACCTGCACTGATATCTACATACAAACAATTTTGGCTGTAATGGACAAGGCGATAACTCAACCGTTTGTCTTGCCACACCGCAGACACAATAAAGTCAATTGTGTTAGTTTTAATTCTTAACGGTGTTTTCTTTGTTTTCTTACATTTCATTTTGAACTGTTGTGCGCAACTTGAAATCCTCCTTTGGTGTTGGTGCCACAAAGCTTTCGTCCTTTGCAGTTAGTGTGTTTTGGTTGGCGCTTTGAAACGGCTGGGCGTATTTTCTATGTGCCTTGCGTGCGTATGTGCATAATTGTGGAGGTGTGTGTGTGTGATAAAAGTCAATTGGTGGTAAATAGTCACGAAAGCTGGGCAATCAATTTTATGTGCAGAAATACGTTGTCTGTCGAATTAATTACAAATATGTGAGCCAATATAATTCACGGTAAGATCTATTTAATCTATTTAGTTATGCAATCAATCAATTGTTTATAAATGTATTACAACATGCCGTTGGAATCTTTGCGTGAAAATGATGCGTACATATGTTTTTTTTTAGTAGGGGGAAGCATTCGATTGCGCGAAACTTTAATACGCTAAACCTAACCTTCCCACCACAAGTCATTCCTACAATTAATTCCCCTCAGTAGACGGTAATGTTGTCTAACAGTGTCGTAGTACGGTCATAATTGTAGCTGACGCTTCGCAGGCAGCCTTTAACTTGTCAGGGGACACATTTTTGCAATAAATTTTCCACCGTTAACCTACTTTCTAGGAACGTCTCAAAGCGGGGGCATACGAACATTACAGAAAATGCCGTGTCCAAAGTAGACCCTAACATTACCGTTCCTACAAACGGTCTGCGTTAGGTGGAAATTGAGGTCCCATGTTTTCTATCCAACCACTTTTCAATAATTGGTATGACCTTAGGTTTGTTCGTCGAGCAAAAAATTTGTACGAATTTGTACGAATTATCACGATTTTTGCCCAAATCGCGTTCGTGCAGACCAAAAAATTATCCAACACTCAAAAATTGTGAGAGCAAAGTGACAGTTCTCTTGGAGAGAAGTTGCAAATTCTTGCTGGAAAAAATTTTGCCAGCAAGAATTTGCAAACACGAAAAACATGTGGTTGTGGCGCATGGTTGCATTTTTGTCTACAATAATTTGAATAAATTAGTTCGTTAAATTTAAAAATTTATAAACACGAGCGATTTTTTTATGAAAAAAGGAAGTAAATAATTGTTGATATAATTAATTTAGTTAATTCCAATGATTTGAACTTAATTCGGCTGAAAAAAATGGTATTCGCAATCGGAATGCAATTGCAACCAGAGTCGATTTAAGAAACCCGACAGCTAGTACGATGAAGAAATTGAAATGTATGTTAAAGAAAGTCAGAACAACAAGAAATATACATGTATATCCTGTTTTTGGCCATCCGAAAGAATTTTAAAAATTCTATAAAAATTTTTTATGTTTGAAATGCAACCGTGGACGCCAGCTGGCAGCGAAACTTGCAAATTCCTGCAAATTTGCGTTCGTGCAGAAATTTGCAAGTTTCTCAACATGAGAGAGAATTTGAGAGAATTTTTTCTTACTCTCTGATATTTTGAGTGTTGGATAATTCTTGCTGGATTTTCGACGAACAAACCTCTTGTAAGTTCATTGACTTTAGGATTGTAGGTAATTAAAATCGCTACACAAAGATTTGTAGAACCAAAGTCCCCTCTAATAAAAATCCATTAAATAACAGTAATATCGAGCGATGATTTCGATTTTATCGTAAGTGGCAAAAGGCAAAAATTTTACAGGAGAATGTTTTTTAATTATACCTAAACTCTGTGACTCTTTTCTGGGTGTGGCTCTTCCTCCCTTTAAAACTACATATTAGTATGTATCTATTGTCTTATCATTTTAAAGCTCAGCGAACCTTCAAATGATATCTCCGTTTCGTCCATTCGAATAAAGCCACTTTTAATTATCTTATATATATACATGTATGTATGTATGTATGTAAATATATCATAAAACGCTGATAAAAGTTTTAGGTAAATATAATTTATTGAGATTTATCTATGGCAGTATCATCGCGTTAGCACGCAGATCTAAGATTTATCTGTGTTGTGCACTTATTCAAGGCATAACACATAAACAACTGTCTAAATCTGGAACAAACCAAACCTGTCAGTCTACCTCAGTCGTCCATCCCATTACGTGGAGCTCAACGAGCTTCATATGTTCTTTTAGTCGGGCACTCCTCTTTTTTGGATCATCTCAGTCGAGTAACGTATTAATATATTTTGCATATAAATAACGGCACTAACTTGTTATAGGCAGCCTATTCTTTCTGAGCACTATTTGAGCATATGAGTTTTCATGACGCCAAATTGTCTCGAGGTAAGCTTTCAAGCTAGGGAATTTATTTACAAAACTACTTTTCGCGACCCAGCCTAGTGAGTACGGACTTTTTAACTTGAAATTGTTGGAGAGTTCCACCGACACATAATCCTATTTAGGAACATTGAAATCTCAATAACAATATCCAATTGTTTGTTTAACCGTTTTTTAATATTAACTATTTTTTATAGGTCCCCAAAAACCGCTATAAATGCAATTAGGGGACCCGTAAAAAATCGCGACAATTTGGTCGGAGTGACAATTGTCAACACAATTGTCGACAATATTACATATTATCACTGTCGTTTTCCAAAAAATTTCACAGTTGTCTACAAACGTGTATGAAAAAATGTCGCCGATAATTCTGGCAGTGAAATTTTATAGAAAAATCGGCAATTGTCGCACTTGTCACTTATATGAAATAAGCCCCTGGTAAAGGTCGTTATCCGTGAGTGAAATATTGGAATCGATTTTGTGTTTTGTCTTAGCTATTTTCGAACAATTATACTTTAGTTAATAATTATCTAAAAATTAACAAATATATATGTTATTTAATTAACGTAGTTAAAATATCAATTAATTAGAAAAATATTAGTTTCTTACTAATTCGGTTACATATATACTAAATATGTTGCATTAATTTTAAAAATTATAAAGGGTGGTCCAGAAAGTCCTATTTTAATCATATTCTATTTTGACGTTGAGCTCTTTCCCACTGAAAAACTTGACAGAGAGTCAATAAATGATTTTTTGTGATCGTAAATTTGAGATATGGACTTGAATGATCTTTGCTTTAAGCAGGGTGGCGCACCATGTCAAACAGCCCATACCACAATCGATCTTTTGCGCGACAAGTTCGGTAATTTCGGCGTTATCAACTGGTCACCTCGGAGTTGCGATTTAACGCCGTTGGACTCTTTGTGGGATGCTGTGAAGAACCGATGTTATGCGAATAATTCAATAATGATTAAGACGAGTGTCAAACAATCCATTCGTGAGATATAGCCAGAAACCTTCACCTAGGTCTTTGAATACTGGATTAATAGGATGTGATATTGCGAAGCCCGCCGAGGAAGCCACATGAATGAAATCGTGCTCCATAAATAATGGAATGTTTGCTCTTCCGATTAAAGGAAAAAGATATAAAAAAAATTTAATTTTTCTTTTAAATATTTAAACCATCATATGGACCACCCTGTATGCCCATTTTAAGCCCCATTAATGTTTTCATACAATTTAATGAAATCAGCAATGCCGTCCGCGTAATAATCAGGCTGCCGGTCAATGCTGGCGTCCAGCATTTCCTGTTTTGTAGTAGTACCAGTCAGCACGAGCAACGACTGAAAGCCAACATTTAAGCTGAAGCGTATGTCGAGTGTCAAAGAATCGCCAACAAAGAGGCAACGTTTTGGATCTTTCAAGTTGTAGACGTCCTTGACTATGTCGCCCAATAACGCCGCCGGTTTGCTGACTATTATAGCGTCTTTGTGCGTAAACCTCTTGATGGTTTCGAGAGTGTCACAAAATCCTGAAAGCAAGAAAATGACTGAGGATTAAGGGAAAAGAATACTACCTATAAATTAGATGTAAAAGTCAAAATCAAACCTGGCACTATTAAATCTGCTGTCACCGGCAAGAGCCAATCTGTACCGCCGGTAATGAAGACACAATCTTTATCCTGTAAATAACGGGTAGCTGCGCATATTTGCGCATAATTCAAGTTAATATTAATATCGTATAAGACTGCGCCAACATTTCGTTTCGGTTGCGTCACTTCTGGCAGTTTGTCAACTGCGATTTTGGGTGGTGTGTCCTAAAATAGCGACCAAATGAAATATTCATTGATTATCGTTGAGTTATGGTCTGAGTTCGCCCGAAATAAATGAGCAAAACAAAAGCTCCCTTTCTCAGAAAATTTTTCTACGATGCTTTATTTTAGAATTTAATTGAAAAACGGCCTATCTCAGAATTCGGTTCAAAAACGCCATACCTCGGCGCATTTTCAATGAATTTTCGTTTGAGATAGGTCGTTTTTGAACCGAATTCTTAGATAGGGCGTTCTTGAAAAGTTTTCTAAGATAGGGCATTTTCAAACTGGCTGCATAGATAGGTCGATCTTCCACTCAGCCATCGAAATTATGACGGTTTTAATTGGCTATTTTCTTCAATTATCCAAGTTAGCTAAAAACTAGTAATTCCTGTAGTGGAATTCTGTCAATCGCTACACTAAATTTTCGCGCCAAAATTCTTTAAATGAAAAGCAGTGGGCCTAAAAGTATACTGAATGGAAAAGTAATAACTGTAATGTGTAATTAGCCAAATCCGGTCGTAAAGGGAGCGCATGTAACTAGATGTTGCGTGTTGTTAGGCGTGCCTGCTATTCTTTTGGCGATTTTTAGCGAGCAAAATTAGCGATAGCAAATGTTGGACTCCGGCTGCAGATTTAGGTAAGCACGCAACTTTGGCCTTAGTTGGTCTATGGCCTTATAGCTGACATTAATAAATCCCTTTTAGATGTTTAAAATAGCAAATAGTCGTAACATATATGTAGATACCACTGGAACGATATATTTGTTCCGACCTGCCTAATCGGTAACTTAATCTGAGTTGGGACGAATCTACATTCCAAGTTCATCAGTTATTTTCAATCACCTGTTTGCATGCTTTCTATACGAACTAAATAGCTGATCTTAGGCCTATTTGGATCTAAAATTCGTATGAACTTTATTTAGAGTACCAATTACTTTTGCTCCTCAGAGATCAACCAGCAGCTCCACAGGTTACCTACAGTCTCGTCTGCTCTTTGAAGACCGGTGTTAGCCTGCATATAGCCTGCCGATGCCACCCAGCCCTGATGTGAAGCGCGCCTAGCCAAATGTCTAATTATCAGGTAACCTTGTGTTATCTATTTAGAATTCAGAGTAAAAAAAGCTCAATCAAGCTAATTAAACCAAAATTTGCAACACCAAACTTAATTGGCTGTCACCAAAAAGACATTCAGCCTTGATGTATTATGGAACGAATTTCCGTCATCCCTTGTCAAATTTGGTTTGGAGACAAACCGGTTTCGGCGTTGTGCCATCTTCAGTGTCATTTTTCGTTCTGCATAATTTTTGTTGGTTG